GGGGGGGGGGGGTCTCAAGTAGAAAAAGACAGAGGTGAGGGTTTACTATGGGACAAAATCCCTATCCTAACAATTTTACCTTAGCAGAGAAAAGTTGACCAAAACAAAAGAGGATAAGGAGGACCGAAAATCAGACAAAAAATTTTCGCGTCTGAGTTTGGTGTGCTATTTGTCACATCAGTTTAGTATTCTCGCATGCTGTCCATAGTCCCTTTGTCATAGAGCTTCCAGTGTGGCCTTCTCTTCTTTATATTCAAAATAAACAAATCAAACTGATGGCAAAGAAAAAATGAGGTGTTTAGTATCAGCCAAAAGGTAGGACCTAACTGTGCGAAGAGTTACGATTTGTGCTAGGTAGGCAGTCACCCCCCCCCCCTCACACACACACATAAGCCAGTAATACGCACATTTGTAAAAGTATTACTCCTCATACTCCTCAATTGTCATACTTTATATGATGTGAGAGGCAGAAGCCTGGTTGGAGGGTGCCATAGATAAATCCTACTTCTTTGCATTTCTTTTGATGTTTTTGTTTTTCAGCCTTGCTTTTCCTAAACATTTCATGGTGGCTATTGCGTTCATATCATGCTTCTCTTTACTCTGTTCAGGTAAACTTTGAATCATCCCAGGAAGGATAGAGATGTTCACTAAAATTGTTCACATCTTTTATATGCAAGATAAAGAGCCATACACGGTCACCACAAGGGTCAGTCCAATATTCCCCATAGCTCTACCCTTAATAAGTTCAAATGTGTAACTGAGATAACTGTTGTAAGCACCAAAAACAGACGTACAAGGGAGGGCCTCTCGAACCACTGAACTCTGACGTGATTTCTTTAAAAAACAAAAAACTGTACCTGAAAATTGTTTGAAACACCGCCAGGAGACACACACGGGAGGGCATTCGGACGCACTCGACTCCCTGTGTGGTCCAAAAACTGACCACCCTCGTACATCTTGAAGTTGTTGATGAGTACTTCCACGTGTGGCGAGTGGAAAAAGCGACGGGGGATCTTCTCCAACAACGGGATTCCACCGCTGGCCAGTCGGGGCATGATCCAAATTCCGTGGCCAAGGGCCATGGCGGTCTGTCGAAGTGCAAGAAAAAAGAACCAAACAAAAAAACCCCAACATTATTGCGAAGACCAGTGCATGCTGAAAGTCAAATCACTTCAAATGGCTCATGACTCTCTCAGCCAGGAACGCGCGCGCGCACACA